GCACGGCCACATCGCAGCGGGGTGCCCCTGTTTCTTTTTTAGATTTCCATAAATTCCCAGGATTTCAAAAAAGTTTTGAATTTGAAAATATGCTCATAAATTTTAAAAAATAATTTCAAAAAATGTACATGAATTAGACAAAATGTTCACCAAAAAATCGCGGATTTTAAATAAACGATCACAATTTTTTTTAAATGTTCATGAATTTAATTTTGTTTCTCATATTTCGAAAAATGTCCATGATTTCAAAAAATCTTTACAAATTTGAAAGAAATATTCCCAAATTTCAAATGTTCTAACATTCAGAAAATGTCATGAATTGGACACAAATCACGAGTAGAAAAAATGTTCATGGATTTGGAAAACAAATTTGAAAAAATGTTCTGGTATTTCAAAACTGTTGATAAAATTTAAAATAATATAAGATTTTTAAAAAAAGTTCAAAAATTGGAAAATTCTCGATTGAATGAAAATTTTGCGAACTGCAAAAATATTCGTGATTTGAACATTTTTTAATTTCAGAAACAATTGACCAATTTTAAAATTGTTCCTAGATTTCAAAAAATGTTCTTGAATTTTAAATCAAAGAATGGGAAAAGAAAACAGAAAATAAAATAGAAGAAATGGAAATTTTAAAATTTAAAAGGAAAATAAAAAAAGAACACCAAAAGAAAAAAAAAGTGTCATGGAAGGTTCTGGAATATTCACAAAACCGGAAAGGGAGTCTCCTTGACAAGTCTATTTGGCCGACTCATATATGCATGCGCGACACCGCTTGAATGCGCGTTTGCTCGACAAACGTCCACCGGTGTGGTGAAAGCTTTTCCACCCATCTAGCCCTAAGCGTATCGCTAAAAAAATCTAACACTAAGCTTAAATTTACCCACACCTCTTTCGCAACCATAGTAGGCGACGCAAGCAGTCCTGCACCCATTCTTTTCTTCAAAATTCAAGTTGAATATTTTGGTCTAAAATACCAACCGCGGGATTTTTTTGAATTTTTTTTCCTGAAAATCATGTCGAATTTGGTGATCATTTTAGCGGAGTCTTACCTGAAATAGACACAAGGTTTGATAGATACTTGATGTTTTAGTGTTATGGGACGGGGGAAGAAGTTTTGAAGAGAGAGAAACGAGATGATGTGGTGGATATGTGAAAATATATGTGACATGTCACTGCTGATTATCACAAAAGCAGAGTCAAATAAGCTAAAACCCGTTTAAACATAATGAGGGTTGTAAAGTGAAAGATTCTACATTTTACGTACTTGAAGGCCACGACTGCTACCTTCACATAAGTTAGGCATTGCGCCACGAAGATTGCAGCTTTACCATTCCTTCCAAAAGCTCTGACCATTGGACCGACGCTTCATGGCATATCTTACTTAGAGCAGCATGGTATCCCACGGTTTCATGAGTGTGGCGGTCGACGAGTGGCACGTGTGAGCCCCCGTTCCCCCGGTCTAGAGGTATATGTGGTCACATGCCGATCGCAGTATTCGGAGCACGTAAGCAAAGCTTACAAGAGGTTCCATGGCACATCCCCTGATGCCCAACATGTTTGTATTTGGACGAGCACACCCCATTACTAGTCCATGTCCAATGGATACTCTTAGGCTGGTCATAGTGGGAGTGACTTAGCTAGTAACATGACGTATTTCAAAATATTTTTGCTTTGTGACATGTAGTTAATGAAGAGAGAGGTGTTTGGAATAACATAATTCCCAAAGACAAAATGAGACTACAAGCTAATAAATACAACCACGTCCACATGTGACACTACATCTATGTTACTCCCCACTATAAAGGTAGTAACATAGACTAGTGTCATATGCATGACACTAGTGTAAATTACTCCCCACTATGACTAGTCTTAGGGGTATCGTGCGCTTATCGAAGGAAGCAAGGTCTAACAAAATGTGCAGGTTGAGGGATGTGCATAACCTTAGATCCTGGCATTAATCCAGTAGCCAGCTCCTTGGTGGCGTATAAAAAAAATACTAGTCTACGAGGTGTCAACAATGGTGGACCTAGGCAGTTGCGAACAAACCTGGGCATGGGCAGCCAGGCCCGACGATCCAGCCCAAGAAACCCAGGTCAGGCCAAGCCGAGCTTTGTCTTTGGGGCGGGCTCGGGCCTAAAAATGCAGCCTGTTGCGTATATCGGGTCGGACTTGGGCCTAGGAAATCAGGCAGTTTACACAGAAGCCCAACCCGGCCTGGCCCGAAATTGCTCCGTTTTGTCCCTTCGGGCCGGGCTTGGGCTTATGTATGCGTTTTTTTGGCCGGGCTGGGCTGGGCTCGAGCCTAAACTTTGTAAGTTGGGCTTTGACAGGCCCGACCTGGAGAATGCCCAGGTCTAGTGGCGGAGCTAGCTTGGGATGACTAGGGCCAATAGAAAAAAAATAAACTCTTACAAAGGTAAAAATCTGTATTTTTCTCAATCTATGCAACTATAGAAAAAATTTCTTCAGACAATTAATATCCCAAGGTTGGGGGGCACTGGCCCCCCTGGCCTCAACATAGCTCTGACATTGTACCTAGGAATCTGTCAATGCCAGGGAAGAGCAACAGCGACACATAACCCGGGAGCAGGAGATATTGGAACATCAATTTGAAAGGAGCGATTGAAGCAAGAGCCCAGTTTGACCACGGTATTAAGAAATAAATTCTAAATGGACCGTTAACATTTCGACAAAGTTTAAAGATACTAATACAATAAGTCTCACGGGCGTGGGGCACAACCAGGTAAAAGCGTGTAAGGTTTATAGCCGGGAAGACAGATCAAATGCCCAAAAAAGAGGGACGGTAGATCCACCGCCGGTGGTTGTGACCTCATATCTATGGACTAAAGGAGATCAACTAAAATCTACAAAAATAAAATCAGTTTTGCTAAGTCTCAGTCGATGCTATGTCCCCTAGATCTTGCACGGAGAATCGTACCAATATTCTTTTTAGATTTTTCTTTTTCTTTTTTATATACTATATCACTTGACTGAGACCTAGCCACATCCAAATAAAATTGCATTCAAAGTTGTCTAGTTTGCACTGAAAACTTCATTTTATCCTTTGTACATGTTTACTGAATTTACACTTTGGATGACAGAGATATGCATGCCCTCACACATGACCTCCATCACTAGGAAGGAACCTTCCCTAGACGATGACGTATATATACACCGGCACGTTCGATCGGCCGTATTCCACACGTCGGGGTCAAGCACCGCCGCCGACGGCCGGCCAGCCGGCAGCGCGTACGTCCAATCGGATCCCGTCACGCACGTCCGTACGCAGCTGCGAGGAATCAGCCCGGCAGCTAGCTTCGAGTTTTTGACTAATCCCCCGTCGCTTTCGTCTCCCGGTCCGGCGGCTACGTACGTACGTACGTGCTCCGGGCAGCGATTAGTCAAACCCAAGAACCGGTCGCCGCGGGCGCGCGCGCAAGTTCCACCGTTCTTCCACGGCTAGTCTCGGGTCATCGTCGATCAGCGCGACGCCTGGCTCCACGCCCAGGGGGACGGCGTGCCGACGACGGCCGCGGCGGCGGCGGAGGGGCCGGAGACCGGGATGCCCATGGCGACGCGGCACCAGCCGGGCTGCGCTGGCGGGGCCGGGTCCGAGCGGGCGACGTGGACGTGGACGTCGCCGAGGACGCGCACGGCGAGGTGGACGACGCCGTGTCCCGGCCCGCCGCGGCGCGGGCAGCGGAGCGAGTAGCTGAGCCTGCGGAGCGCGCGCGGCGGGCGGAGGCCGTCCAGCACGTCGGCGGCGGGCACGCGGCACCAGCCCAGCGGCGTGTCGCCGAGGAGCCGCGCGCAGCCGGACTCCGAGAGCACCGCCACGCGCACGTCGTCGCGGCCCTCCAGGAACCCCGCGCCCACGGGCACCACCAGGCGCGCGTCCTCGCCGACGTCCTCCCACGAGTGCTCGCCCGCGCCGGACGACGCGGGGGCCACGCCCGTGCTGCAGCCGGCGGACGAGGACGAGGAGGAGGAGGAGACGGCGACGTAGGGCCGCAGCCGGCGCGGGAGCGGCGAGTAGGTGGGCGGCAGGCGCAGCGACTCGGCCGACAGCACGGTGACCTCCAGCGCCACGCCGCCTCCCCACTCGCCGTCCTTGGGCACGAGCCTCGACGACGGCATCGCGCGCGCGCTCTCTCTACCTAGCTAGCTCACGGCAGACAGATATAGTTGATCTCCCTCGATCGATAGGCGGCGGCGTACGGCACGGTGGCGAACGGCGGGTGGGAGTGGGAATGGGGCTGGCGTGGTCGCCCGCCGGTGGTTTATACCCATGGGCGGGGTTGAAGGGTTCCTCGATTTGGACGAGGAAGCCAGGAGGAGGCAACTTCTGCATGGAGCGCGCGAAAGCGCAGAGAAGGTTGGCGCGAACGGAGGAAGGAAAGACGAAGCCTTTTGCTTTCAGACAGACGTAGCACCCGCACCGGTCACTCACTCACACAGACAGACACAGAAGCTTTCTTCGCGCCTTCGCGCTGCCCACTTGGAAGAAGAGAAGATGGTCGAGTCCAGATCAGTTTTTGTCATTTTTTTGTTACAATGTCTCAAATATTTAACGGATTGGCTAAATCACATCTAGATGAAATTTAGCTATATCACATCTAAGTCCACAGCCATTAGATCAATTTGCTGAGATTTGTGCAACTAACGTAATCGTTGTCCATCCTGCGCGCGTCGATGTGCTACCCGTTCGTGCCGGCTTGTTTTTCCTTTCTCTGAGTGGAACGTGTTGGCCTGTTTTTCTGCGGGTGCACGCCAGTGCTCTTCCACTTCCGTGTCAAGGCCTCCTGGTGCTTGTACATTTGTGGGCCACTGTTCCTTAGTCTGAGGGCAGCGCTAGTGCGTTTTTGCCTTTTTTTTTTATCATTTGCACACTGTCTTCAGATCTTTTTCAAGTGTACGCTGTCAAATTTGTTTGTTTGGAACTTGTTTCTTGACATTGTTTGTTTGTTCACCGGCAAAGAAAAACATTGTTTGTTTTTTTGAGGTTTTTTTTCTCAGCTAAATTTTCAATCTATTCGTCAATAATGACAGTGTAAAAACACTATAGATAATAAAATTTACAACCAGATTCATGTATCACCTAGCGATGACTATAAGCACTGGAGCAAGCCGAAGTCACGCCGTCGTCATGGCCCCTCCCCCACCAAAGCCGGACAAACCTTGTTGTTTTGAGCTTGTTTACCAAATACACTATGTGGTTTTGAAACTTGTTTGTGAATACACCAAAAACAACACATTGTACGTTTAGGGCGAGATATTGCAATGTTTTATCTAAATCGTTGTCATTTTGGATCTTGTTGTTGTAATGTTTGCATAAACTCGTAATTTCGCATCGATGTATTCTCGTGATGCCTTGTTTTTTTTTTGCCCACTTGTTGGCTGTTCGCGTCGCACGTATGTGTTTTTTTGTCAAATTTTGTTATTACGCTCTTATGGCTCATTTTATCTGGTCTGCGTTGTTGAAGTGGAAGAGACATGCTACGTCGCTTGTCACTATCTATTTCTTTTTTCTTTTAATTTGATGTCAAAGTGATAGGCTCTAACTTGCCCTTGACGCATAACTGGGCCCAACCTATTTTTGTCTCGGCTGCAAGTCTATCATCGACTCGCTGCTAAGGGGAGTGGGCGTGTTTGTAGGGGGTCTAGTTGCAAGTTAACCAAGGACTCGCAACTGGGGGGCAGTGCCTATTTTTTGTAGGCTGCCCAGTTGCATGTCAACCATCGACCTGCAACTAGGGAGGCTATGTGTTTTTGTAGGGGCCTCAATTGCAAGTCTACCATCAACTCGCAACTAGGGGTGGGGAGTGTGTTTGTCGGGGGCCCCAGTTGCAACTATCAACTCGCAAACTAGGGAAGGGTGTGTGTGTGTTTGTGTGTGTGTGTGTGTGTGTTTGTATGTGTGTGTACGGGTCCAAGTTGCAAGTCAACCATCGACTCACAACTAGGGGCGGCGTTTTTTTTGGTAAGGGCCTTAGTTGAGAGTCAACTATTGACTCACAACTATGGGGGTGGCGTGTGTGTTTGTCGGGGCCCAGTTGCATTTCAAATATCAACTCACAACTAGGAGAGGCGTATGTTTGTAGGAGCCCAGTTGCAAGTCAACCATCGACTCGCAACTAGGACGTGTCGTACTTTTTTGTAGTTGCCCCATTGCAAGTCAATCATCGACTCGCAACTGGGGGGGGTTGTTTTTAGGAGCCTGGTTGCAAGTCAACCATCAACTCCCAACTAGGTGGTGGACGTATGTTTATATGAGCCTAGTTGCAAGTCAACCATCAACTCGCAACTGGGATGCATCATACTTTTTTGTACTGGACCCAGTTGCATGTCAACCGTTGACTTGCAACTAGGGGGGCTATGTTTTGTAGGGGCTCAGTTGCAAGTCAACCATAGACTCGCAACTGGGACGCGCTGTACTTATTTGTTGTTGCTCCAGTTGGAAGTGAACTATCGACCCGCAACTAGGGGGCGAATGTTTGTAGGACTCAGTTTCAAGTCAACCATCGACTCGCAAATAGGGGGCATGTGTATGTATGGGCCCGAGTTGCAAGTCAACCACTTACTCGCAACTAGGGGGCGTATGTTTGTAGGGGACCCAGTTGCAAGTCAACCATCGACTCGCAACTAGGGTGCGTATGTTTGTAGGTCCCAGCTGCAAGTCAACCATCGACTCGCAACTGGGACATGTCGTACTTTTTTGTAGTTGCCCAGTTGCCAGTCATCCATCGACTCGCAACTAGGGGGTTTGTTTTTAGGAGCCTAGTTGCAAGTCAACCATCAACTCGCAACTAGGGGCGGACGTATGTTTGTATGGGCCTAGTTGCAAGTCAACCATCAACTCGCAACTG